GAGAGAGAGAGAGAGAGAGAGAGAGAGAGAGAGAGAGAGAGAGAGAGGTTTCAGCCACAAGAGATGAACCGATCCTCTTCACCTTGCAGCTTCTCTCGTATGCTGCCGTTCCAGGAACTCTCTTTGATCAGAGCAGCAGAGCGGGAGAAGATGTCGGTGGCGTGAGGCAGCAGGAGCTGCAGATGCTTGTGGAGTAAAGCCACACTGCTGCAGTTCTGCAGAGAGAAAGCACGAGGACCGTAATGTCTCAAGACGCTTATAAGACGCGCGATAAAATAATTGTCAGCGTTAATTAATGAATGCGTTAACGCGAAATGAACGCGTTAACTTGCCCAGCACTAGTTTTTACGCTTCATGAAGAAGACCATGTGAGTTCTGAGATTAGATGTGCATTAAAGAGTAAATAACTTCATCAGATTGGACATCAGAGGGCTTCTGCCTTTCAATGGTGAAGCTATAATCTCAACGCTAAAATACATGATCCGATTGGCACCAGACCAAGAGGTTTGAATAACTCTGTGATTTTCCACATAATGAAGCCGCTATCCGTGGAAGAGAGAGTCGGCGTTTTTGAACAAGACGAGCCGAGTGTCCGTACCTCGGTGACTGAGTTGATGTGGCAGTACGCCAACAGCTGCTTCTGCAGGGAGCACAGGAGCTGGTGGAGGTGAGCCGGCTGGCTGCTGTCGGAGGAGGACGTGCCCTGCTGCAGCTTATCACTGTTCTTCTCCAGCTCACCGAACGCCTGATCCTGCACAACAACAACAACACAAGTACAATGTGAGGGATACATTCAAGGACTCACGGTCAGGGTATAGTTTATTGTCATTATGCAACACAGGGCTGCACGACGAGAGTTCATTTGCTACACAAGAAAAACCTTTTTTTATTTTGCATCAGGATGAATGTAAACAAACGATTCTCTGGGCAGATAATCTGGTCGGCATCTTACATTAAGAACCAGGGGAATGCGAGAACGTTGAATATCGCAACGCAGAGTTTACTTGAGATAAATAAACAGACATCAACGTGTACTTAGTTCTGTTGCTTTCAGTATTCTGATCAAATATGACACATTACTTGAAGAATAAAAGAATGAATTGAACATTGAACACGAAAGACGTGTTTTCAAAGCAGAAAATGTTCGGCAAACCACCTTTTGACCTGAGGTACTTATACTTACACTAAAGTATTTACATTCATATTATTCTGCTCTATAACTTTTTACGCCACTACATTTCTTTGAAAACTTAATTTATTTTGCAGATTCAGATAAATAATGTAAAACTTTATTCCACAAGATTCCTGGCAGTATACAGTTGTGTGAAAAAGTGTTTGCCCGCTTCCTGATTTCTTATTTTTTTGCATGTTTGTCACACTTAAATGTTT